TTAAGCTCTCCTTAATAAAAAAAGTATGGAATTTTTTCCAGGTATTTTTTATACATTTATGGGTTTAACTGTTTCTTTAGAAACTACTGAGCAGACTTGTGATAGCAGGGCTATTTTTTATTGAGTAATACCAATGTGGAGTTGTGGCAATGTTTTTTCTATTTATAATTAAATTTTTAAAGGGGGAATGTGAAATTTACACAGCTGTTTGAAGAAATGAAAAAAACAGCACTATACTACTAATCTGTGTGGCTAAAGTCCTTCATCTGTCATACTTCTATCATCATCTGATACATGCTTAATTTAAATTTTTTAACCAAATGCATCCCTGAGTTTGAGAATATTACTGGGACACTAAAGTTGTACAAGCTTATTGTTTACAAGGAATGTTCAGATTTGATTCAGAGTCTGGATTCTTCTTCATTTGGTAGGGATCTTAAAAAAACACCATGACCATGAATGAAATTATATTTACCCAGAATGCAGACAGTTTGCTTTCAAAGAGATCAGTCACATAAATGCAGTTATGTGCAAAACAAAGCTGGTCTACATTTTGGTTTGTTAGTTTTTACCATTGGATTGCTTGCTTGATTAAGTTTGAAACATGCTTGTTCAGAAACCTAAATTTGTACCTACTTGTCAGTTTTTCTTTTATGTTTTGCAGTGTTTTTTTGCAGAAACTGCTTGTTGTGCCTACTGTCTGCTTGGTCCTAACTGTGGTTTAAACTGAGTATCTTTCTCACTTTCTAGGTGTGTAGGTTGTGACCTGTTTTAGCTGGAACACAATCCTTAGCAATTTGACCTTAACTTGATGAGAGGGCTGGGGAAAGTGCTTTTGCCAGTCAAAGTATGATTGTCTGAATATGAGCTTCTATTTAAAATTGCTTTCCAGGTTAGTCAACTATTAAATAAATAGAACATTTAATCTACCTTTTAAATATGTATCTTATAATACAATTTCATTAAAGAGTCTAACCCTCAAAATAAGTTGACTTGGTTTGTCCCTCACATTAACCATTGAGAGTTAGGTTCAAGTAACTTCATGCACTTGGGAAGACCTCCCTGGTGTGATTTATCATATGTCCTAAAGGAAAGTAATTTTAACTACCTCTGCAACCAGGATGTTTGAAGATCGACTTCTTAGTGAGTGTTTGACCAGTGACATATTTTACTACCAAAGATTATTTACTGGCCTTCCTTGAATATAAAGGATATTTAATGCTTTTGGTGGCGTTTAACGAGAAGTTAACTTAATATGGCTCAAGGAAGACAATGGTGTCTTCTGGAGGGCTGCAGGTATAGGTTGGAAATGCATAATCTAATCCTGCGCAGTTAGATTTCAAGAATAAGTCTTCTGTTTGTAAAGCAAATATAATTGGAGTAAAGCTTATTTTCAATTTAGATTAGATAAAATATTTCTTTTGTGCTAAGTGTACCAGAGAAAGGAAGTAACATAATAAAGATGGATGTTCTGAGTTTAGGTGCAGCTGCCTTTAAGATGTTTGGTTTTTATCTCCTCTAAGGCCTTTTGTGTTGAACCTTGGTAAGTTCAAGGTTTTGGGTAGTTGAGAAAAGTATCTAAAATACTCATGTATTATTATCATGTTGTACTCTATTTTTTTCATCTTGCTGAAGGTATGGTAGTGGTAGAGCTGAGTAGTAATGGCTTAATTTTGCAAGACTTTTTGCCAGCTTACGTGCTGAGCAGTTAACTCTGAAGCAGTAGCAGATGAACCCCTGTAACATAAAAATGTAGGTGTAGGCTAGTTTACTAAATTTTAAACTAAAAACATGTTTAGAGATATTTTTCCCCCAGAAATCGTGCTACATAATCTTATGCTAAACAGCCTTCTCCTGAGGTAAAGGACTGCTTCTTAAACAGCATAACACTTTACTATTACTGCTCCACATCTTCTGTTGAGCAGTATTGGCTTGAGAGTAGGAGTGTTTAAGAAAGGCAAGGCCCATAGTTTAGTCTAGACACAGATAGTTGAGATTGCCTGTAGTTGTAATTATGGTCTTTGATTGTTTGAAAGGTCAATATGGAAAATTTTTAACTATGTTAATGTAGGTTTAAACATCCTGTGCTTGAGGAATATTCTGGTTATTGTAGAGTGTGGGAGTTTGGGTTTATTTTAGATACAAAAAGGTAATCACTTGTACATGTTTAAGTATCACCTGTGACCTTCTTCCAAAGAACCTGGAAAGAAGTTTCTCTAATCTTGTTTCCATGTTGTTCTGTGTTCAGAGGAATATGGGTCCAAAAATACAATCCCCATTGTAAAGCTCCTACAACTGAATTGGCATCTGTGCATAAGTGGTCAAAGTACAGATTCTGAAAGGCTGTGTACCAGCTGTAGTCCTTGAATTGAGTGGTCCAGTACTTGTCAGTAGGAGGCTTAAAAAAGGGAGAGGCAGTTACCTGAATGCATCTGCTAAGTGTATGTATTACTATACCATCCTTTAAGAAGTCAAACCTGCCCCAGAACTCTTGCAGTACCTGGCTTTTTGTTGTTTAGAGAACATTTGAAAAAGGAGATGGTAGCATGCCAATAGAAGAAGTTTTAGCCAGGGAAGATGTGGTTTGTGTGATTAGGGGTGGAGAGAGGGTTTGGGTTAGTTAGTTTGTTACTTTTTTCTTGGGAAATAATCATGAGGGTTGATTTGCAAGTGGAGGTTCAGGCTGTGCATGAGAGACCATAAGCAGGCACCGGGAATCCCATAGGAGAGTCTCAAAACTGCCTATTAAGTAAAAATTATTGTATATTTAGTTTATTTTTTAACTTAATTTTGCATCCACAACTTTGAAAGAAAAAGTGATACATTTAAAGTAGCTAGAAGCTAAGTTGGTACTGTAGTTCAGGAACTGCTTTTCATATAAATTTGATAAAAAAGACAAATCTACTTAGTATGTCAGCATCTCCTTACCTCAATTGAGAAGCACATGGTGCTGTTGGAATAACAGCATGAGTCTGTAGAGATTTGCTTCGAACTTAATGTTCTCTGAGGTGGAGGGGGAAAAAAGCAAGATGTGCTTTAATTATAAATCTATTTTGATTAACTTAGTGTGTCGAAACACCAGTTGAATATGAATGCAATCAACAAAACCAGTGTAGCCTTAAAAATAGAACAAAGCCTCACATCAGTTATTGACTTTTTGAAGCCCATTATCCTTTGGAGAGGACAAACAAGGCGCTTCTCTTGCTGCAGAGCCATTCCCAACTAAATGTGGCTAGAATTATGTAAGCAGTAACCAAATGACAGAGTCATGCAATGTTAAGTAACCTTTTGGCAGCAGGGGAGGCTGAGGGGAGATGTATGATGCTTATAAATTATATTTTATTTGTATTCTGGATATATTTCTATTGATCAGATTAAGTCTTGAGGTAACTAAAAATTGCCTAGATATTAGTGAACTTTAATTACTTTATTTTTCTGGCCTGCATCCTGGTACTGGTCTGGAGTAACTCTCCTGAAGTCATCACTTAGCCTCGGGCTAAACTTCTGTCTCTCATTTTCTGAGAAAGTTTGCCGATTGCATTAGGCCACTTTGAAAAGCTTTTATGGCTTTGATATGTCTTGAAAGCTGCTAGAGATGAGATTTATTCCATTTGAGTAGTCACTCTTGGCGTACAGATAAGATTTGAAAGATAGATAACCATCTTTAGAAAAATTATCATTAATAATTCACATGTTTATATTACACTTATATATTGTATATTTCTCTGTTAGGAAGCTTTGTTTCATATACATAGAATTGTAGTGAATATGCATGTGGAAGCTTTCAAAAAGTAGTCATTAACAAGACCAGAGCTCAAGTATTTTAATACTTACTGGTGTGACACTTGCTTTCCACTAAAAAGCATTCTAAAACTACACAAAAAAAATATAGCCTTTTTTCTGGGATATGTGATAGGGACTAACAACTTTCCAGTTCAAGGCAACGAGTTGAAAAAGCATTTTATAGGAGCAGAACTTATTAAATAACATGTTCGTTATATAGAAGTGCAAAGTACAAAGGTCCATTATTAAATTATGGTACTTGTAACTCTTAACTTTCTCTGATAAGCATTTAGTTACATAAAACATCAGTATCTGCCCAAGTCCCTGATGAGGTTTACGTTTTTGTCAGGAAAAGAATTGCTCCCATCCTCATGCTAATTAGACCTTTCATACTATTTTAAACTCTCAGCCAGTTCAGTGATCATTTTGAGTTTTCAGATGTTTTACTTTGTACATATATGCTATTTATGCCTTTTGCTTTTTATTGAGTCATTCAACATTTATGTCTTAGTGTTCTTTACAGCTTTAACGGGGGCCCAAAGTCTTTCATTTTTGTGATAAAGTTCAAGCGAGAAGTGGTGACTGGACTTAATTCTAGATCGGAAATTTAAAAAATACTTTTGATTTTTCTGTCCATATGCAAATCAAGCATGTTTGGCTTGAGTTGCAGCATGATCCAGATATTCTTTTCAGAATGAAAGCCTTAGTTTGGATGGGTTTATTACCTTTCTCTGTTTTTACATCTACACATTTATATTAAAACCCCAAATAATTATACAAAAATAACCCATTTAAAAAGTATTTAGAAATGTGTTTTTTGCAAGTTGAGCTGGAGTGATTGAGGAAATTGCTATTTCTTAGCTATGGTTAGAGCATCTCAGCTGCAGGACTATTAACTTTATGTAAATGCAAAAGCTGTTGAGCTTAAATGGCTTTTAGTGCATAGAAAGGGGACAATTACAAAGGAATTCACTTTAGAAAAAGCAATGTTCAGATGGTGACGAAATAAATAATTTGATGGGAGTGGCTTCTTAAATAATTCTAACTAGATCTTGAGATCTAGTTAGATCTAGATCTTTTACTGATTAAATGTTGAATCAGTAAAACTTCTGTGGAAGGAGTAATGAGCTGTTCTAATACTCAGTTATTGGAATCCAGATATTTCATGATCTGATGACAATTTATTTTCTCTCCAGGAGTGTATTGTAACCATCCTGTCCTCCTTCAGCTGCTTTCCCTTGAGTAGGCCTGGTAAGTTTCTATGCTCTATTAAAAGTAGCCATGTCAATTCAAGAAGGGTTAACTTATTTTCAGCCATTCTTCTGCCTTCAAAGTGGAATGTGGAGTAAGAATAAGGTTCTGCCACAGTTCAGCTGTTGTCTTGTTCTAACAGCTTGTCAGCTCTTGTTAGAAATGTCCAGTGTAAATATATTTTTAATATGAGCTAGAAGTATGCACAGGTAACCAAGAAGGCCAGTAGCATTCTGGCTTGTTTCAGAAATAGTGTGGCCAGCAGGACTAGGGCAGTGATTGTCCCTCCTTACTCAGCACTGGTGAGGCTGCACCTTGAATCCTGTGTTCAGTTTTGGGCCACTTGCTACAAGAAGGACATCAAGTGCTGGAGTGTGTCCAGTGAAGAGCAGCAAAGGTGGTGAAAAGTCTGGAGCACAAGTCTTACAAGAAGCATCTGAGAGAATTGGAGTTGTTTGGCCTGGAGAAAAGGAGGCTGAGGGGAAACCTTACTGATCTCTACAGCTACCTGAAAGGAAGTTGTGGTGGGGTGGGTGCTGGTCTCTTCTAAGTAACAAGCAATAGAACAAGAGGACATGGCCTCAAGTTGTGTCAGGGGACGTTTAGATTGGGTATTGGGAAAAAATTTCTTCACCAAAGGGGTTGTTAAGCATTGGAACAAGCTTTCCAGGTAAGTGGTGGAGTCACCATCTCTGGAGGTATTTAAGACATGTAGGTGTGCTTAGGGACATGTTTTAGTAGTAGAGTTAGCACTGCTAGGTTAACTTGATGATCTTAAGGGTCTTTTCCAACCTAAATTATTCTGATTCTGTAAGAATACAGAACATCCCCATTGTTTTGTATTTGTACTTTTTAACAAACTTTACAATAAGTTTTCTCCAAAGCTGGTAGTGTCTGTGGTATTGCTATTGACACTGGATAGTTTATTAATTCGTTTCAGGATAAAATATGGACCTATGTTTTTAAGAAACTTACCTTTCTGTTAAACTTTGGTGTATCAAAATTATGACTTGCATTCTAGTTCTTGAAGTCTTGCATACTGCATATTCTATTTTCATATAGTTATTTGGAAAAATAAATATTACTTCCCAGTTGAAATAGGGCTGCCTGTAGGCAGTTTCCTGGTTTTTGTGTTGATGAGACTGTGCAAAACTTGGACTTCACTTTCTATATGATCCTGTCTGAGTATGTTCTGTTCAGTCTGATGTAGCTGTAGTGATGCAGAGCTTCAGGGAACCTGATATCTGCAATAAGGCAACAATTCTAATGAAAGCTGAAATATTTATTCTTCATTTAGGTGAAGCCATTAAAAATAAAGTATATTCGATGTTTTCTCTGTCCAGAATGAAGACAAATGTGAAGATGGCATGTCCAAGGAATTTTAAAAGATGTAGACCTCCTGACTGAGCACTGCTGTGTATTTTATTCTCTTTAATTAGAAAAGTAAGTATGAATTAAATTTATGCTGCTGGGGGTTGTGTACCTTTTTTATATATGACAATAACAAGTTGTGTTAGCTTTGTTTTGTTTCTATCAGTATGCCCCATTCTTTTGATGGGAGCAGATGGGGAACTATATATAAGAATATGCAATGCAAAACTGTTCTTTTGAGAATTAGGGTATTATTTAATTGGTAGAATTATTTCAGTGAGTAGAAAGCTAAATTCTGGGAGTCATGATGTTAAATACATTGCTCTGATTTCTTAATTATTCCTAAATGAGAAATTACTTTTGCTAGATAAGTTTAGGACAGTGGTGAAGGACTGATAGTAATATATCAGACACTTCTTTAGCTTGTACCTACTTGTTGCTTCTACTTGAACAGTGCTCAAATGTTTGGTCAAAATGTGCTTTTTCCTAATCTCTGATGCTAGTTTCACTCCTAATAAAAATGTTTGCATTCAAAGAAACTTTTCTTAAAATAAATAATGGCTAAGGTTAGGAGCCAGGAGTTCTTGGATCCTTTTGCTATGCTCTGGGTGCTAGGCAAATGTTACACATTTAAATCTGTGAAAACAACACTTGAAGCTTATTACTTAATGGTGAGAAGTTGTTTTTTAACCATTCTGTAAGGATGTCTTGTCTTTTTTTCCCTCTACCAGCTGCTGTTCTCTCACAAGTGAACGTCATGATCACGCTAACAGAACTCAAATTCTTAGCAGATGCCCAGTCATCCTACCACATACTAAAACCATGGTGGGATGTCTTCTGGTATTACCTCACCATGATAATGCTGCTAGTTGCTGTGCTCGCTGGAGCTCTCCAGCTTACTCAAACCAGAGTATTGTGTTGTCTTCCTTGCAAGCTAGAATTTGACAATCATTGTGCCGTGCCTTGGGATTTAGTTAAAGCCAACTTTAACATGTCGGCCAGCTCTACAGCGCAGATAATCATCCCACTTAAAATCCAGAACGATCTCCATCGGCAGCAGTACTCCTATATTGATGCAGTCTGTTACGAGCGAGAGCTTCACTGGTTTGCCAAATTTTTTCCATACCTAGTGCTTCTGCATACCTTTATTTTTGCAGCTTGCAGTAATTTCTGGCTTTACTATCCTAGTACAAGTTCCAGGCTTGAGCACTTTGTAGCCATTCTTCAGAAGTGTTTTGATTCTCCATGGACAACACGTGCCCTCTCAGAAACAGTTGCTGAGCAGTCTGTGAGGAAGTTGCCAATAGCCAAATCAAAAACAGCGATTCCATCACCTGGGAGTTCAGTAGATATTGGGGCAAGCAGGCAGTCCCTACCATATTCACAACCTGGATTGGAAACAACTGGAAGAGAAAATTCCTCAAGTGTTCTTGACAAAAAAGAGGGAGAACAAGCTAAAGCTATATTTGAGAAAGTGAAGAAATTCAGAGTACACGTTGAAGAGAAGGATGTCATATATACAGTGTATATGAAACAGATTATAGTGAAAGTAATTGTATTTGTAATAATAGTAATTTATGTCCCCTACTATTTATCATTTATTACACTTGAAATTGATTGTGTAGTTAATGTTCAAGCCTTTACAGGCTACAAAAGGTACCAGTGTGTTTATTCGCTAGCAGAAATTTTTAAAGTTTTGGCTTCGTTTTACGTTGTTTTAGTGATCTTCTATGGCTTAACTTGTACTTACAGTCTGTGGTGGATGTTAAGAAGTTCACTTAAGCAATATTCTTTTGAGAAGTTGAGAGAGAAGAGTAATTACAGTGATATACCTGATGTAAAGAATGACTTCGCATTTATTCTGCACTTGGCAGATCAGTATGATCCTCTTTATTCCCAGCGATTCTCAATATTCCTGTCAGATTTGAGTGAAAACAAACTGAAACAGATAAATCTTAACAATGAGTGGTCAGTGGAAAAACTGAAAAATAAACTAGCAAGAAATTCCCAAGACAAGATTGAACTTCATCTTTTTATGTTAAATGGTCTTCCAGACAGTGTCTTTGAGCTGACAGAAATAGAAGTCCTAAGTCTGGAGCTTATTCCTGAAGCCAAACTCCCTTCAGCTGTGACCCAGCTAGTCAATCTGAAAGAACTCAATGTTTATTATTCATCCCTAACTATGGATTATCCAGCAGTCAGCTTCTTAGAAGAAAATCTGAAAACATTGCGTCTGAAATCTAGCGAGATGGGAAGAATTCCATTTTGGGTCTTTCATCTAAAAAACCTACAAGAATTGTGCTTAACAGGATATTTCATGCTAGATCATCACAGCTCCATATACAACGAAAGCTTTCAGGGGCTAAAAAATCTGAGATCAATTCACTTAAAAAACAACCTTTCCCGTATACCTCAAGTCGTTACAGATCTTCTGCCTTCTTTACAACACTTGTCTATCAACAATGAGGGAAATAAACTGATAGTCCTAAATAACCTGAAGAAGCTGGTAAACCTGAGAACTTTGGAATTAATCTGCTGTGATTTAGAGCGCATTCCTCATTCCATTTTTACCCTAAACAATTTGCATGAAATTGACTTAAAAGAAAATAATCTCAGAACAGTGGAAGAGATAATTAGTTTTCAACATCTCAAGAACCTTTCTTGCTTAAAATTGTGGCACAACAGTATTTCATATGTCCCAGTGCAGATTGGTGCATTATCAAACCTGGAACAATTGTATCTAAATTATAATAATATTAAAAATGTTCCATTGCAACTATTTCTTTGTAAAAAATTACAGTATTTGGACCTTGGTTATAATAAGCTAACCTCCATCCCTGAAGAAATTGGCTATCTGACCAATCTGCAGTACTTGGCTTTGACAAAAAACCATGTAAGTAGAACATTGAATTATTACTTTTAAAAAAATCAATAATCAAATATTGATTTAACCTACCATTTCTTCTGGAACAGCCTCTGATTGAAAAGACTTTTGTGATTAAAGTCAATTATTGAAGTAAACCCAGTAAAGCTGAAAAAAGGGGTGATGCTTGTTTAATTACTAAAAATTGGGTGTCATCAAAGCTTGTGTAATACTGAGTAAGTGCTGTCCTGATCTGTAGGAGCTTAAGGGCTCTGATCCAGAAGTAGTGTAGGTTAGGATGACTGCAGAAATGTAGTTTCCCTTTCTCTGTACCTGTCTATCCTATGTAGTATTTTAATGGAAGTGAGCAGTTAAATTTTTGCCTTAAAATGTCATACTGAAAGCTGTAGTGAATTAACAGCTAGTTGACTGGGAACAGCTCAGATGTCTCATTGAGAAGAGGGAAATAATTGTAGCCAGTAACCACATCAGTGTGGGGGCCAGGGTTGTGACTTAAGATTTTTTTAGAGGTTTACAGTTGGTTCATTGATGAGGTTGGGCTTGGATGTTGTATGTCAGTAGTGTGCACCTGGAATAATAAGTTACTACTGGACTGCTTGTACAGGTTTCACAACAAAGGAGGTGTAATGTCTCTCTACAAACTGTTATTCATTAAGTGATTCTTAGGAGACAGTAGCCTGTTTATCTACTGTCACCTGCACACATTTGTGTGCACTTCTGTGCATGCACGTGTGTATATGCACCCCCCTGCCATGCTTCTGTCTGGACTTCTGCCCCTTGGCCAAGCATCTTAATAACAAAACAGGTATATAAACACATGGGAGTGTTCTCAAGCACTTCATCACATAATGATAGAAGCATTACAATCTTCCCTTTCCTTACTTTTTGTAAACTAAGAGGCTTTTTTATTCTAAAATAAAATCAGGAAATGTCTCAACATGCAGTTGCATGTTGGCTAACAACTTCTATTTTTGCTCTTTTCTTTTTCTAGATTGAAATGCTGCCTGATGGATTATTTCAGTGCAAAAAGCTGCAATTTCTGCTTCTGGGAAATAACAGTCTGATGGATCTGTCCCCTTGTGTGGGTCAGCTACAGAACCTTGTTCAATTAGAGCTCATTGGAAACTATTTTGAATCACTTCCT